ATCTCTGGAAAGGCCATTGCACAAGCTGCTCGAATATCACTTCTCATTGACGCTGCCGTATATGCTCTGTTGATGAAAGAAGCGTTTGGAAATAACATTTCTGGTGATTTAGATGAATGGATTAGAAGCTTTCCTAATGACGAAGACTTGTTTACAGAATTACCGACACATTTGATAGAGTAGTTGTCGGCCAGATTGTTATTGCTAGTGTGAATAGAAATCCATTTCAAACATGTGCAGAAAACACTAGACACTGTTTAAAAACTTTCCTAAACCCCTTTCTACCGTAGCGCAATCTTCTGAAACAAGCTACACTGCTGAAAGAATTCGTAAACGCAGAACGGACAGACAATTGGAATTCGCATTTGAGGACATCGGAGGAATGCTACCATACTTCAAAGCAACTGGTCACAACATATACACAAAATTTTCCCTGTAAGCCTGTCTAAAATATACAGCATTGGAGATAAGCTATTCAGATGCGTTCCAACTTTTCCAGAATGGGCAGCACGGTCTAAGAAGGAGTGATCGATTTTGGGGTAGCTTCGCAACGGATCTTATTATCAAGCAGGTACTTAACTATATTATTTATTAGTTACACTTTTCAATATGAAAGCAATATAAAAAGATATTGATTTTCATCTTCTACAATTCAAATTCCACAAATTATAGATATATATTTACTTTAGGTACAAATGAGAAGTCTCGAAACATCTGGAGGACTGACTCGTGGTAGAGGCATTAACAACCTGCATAGTTGTACTGGCGATGCCATAGTGTGCGGAGTGCAATAATGCTAGGCAAGAGTTAACTGGTACGTGCATGCAGTTAATTAACATTCACACACAGTATCTGTAGAACATGTACCTATGAAAATACTAGTATATATTGTGAAACGTATTTATGATTTTCACAAGGCGGATGTCGTCGAAGAGTCAGAAGACGCTTATCTTCCGGAACACCTGGTCTTATCAATAGAAAACTCAAACTGAATTTGAGTTTGGATTATGATTATGTTGACATGTTTGTTTTTCATTGTTTTTAGTATGAACTATTCGTCTTATTAGCTTCATACATTCTTTGACAACAACGAGTTACCAAGAGCTGCTACAAAATTCAGTTTCGTGGATTATATATGGCGGGGGTCTTTTATATGACGGTTATCCTGTCTGCAACAACCATTCCCTAAAGACACACGAACGGATTCACTAAGACGTCCCTTTTAAAGGAACATCGCAGTTAAAGAATTTTTTTTTGCTATTTATTGTACGGTTCTTTTTTTCACGTGATTGTTTAAAACACGAGGCAGTTCATTTTTTATACTCGAACACTCAATAGTGGGCAGAAACGACACTAAAACACAAATTAAACTCCAATTGTTTTTTTGTAATTTCAACACCAGATGTATTATGAGTGTGGCTAATGCTATATAATAGCTCAATTCAGAATTGCGAAGTAAATGACATTAACGACCAACGTTTTTGCGACATTTTTGTTATCAGGCGACAGTGTTTTTGCGCATGCGTTAGCATATATGACGCAAAATATTACATATCCAGACTGTTGATCAGAAGATTAGGATTTCGTTTTTCCATTTATTAACCTGTTTATGTGAATATTTCAGTGAAAATCAATTGTCAATGTTTATAAGATGACACACTTGGTAAATATATGCAATAATAAAACCAAAAACTTAAAAAAAAAATTTTTTACCGTGATGTCACTTTAAAGGTAAAAAGGGACACTTTCTGGTAATACCACAAATAAACAGTGATTCATTAACGAACTCTGCCATCATTGCCGTCAAACTCAGTTTGTTGTATACAAGTAACTGGGGATGCCGATGTAACAATTGCCATGACAGCGGTCAAATGTCATAGGGATATACATATCTTGGTCCTTGGAGAAGACAAAGGTCTGCTTGTTCTACTCTAACATCAGTACTCTGGTGGAGCATGTAATTTGACATTTAAGTCTCTAAAATTGTCTACTAAGCGGGATTGAAACCGAAATGGGACATTAAAAACACAGGAGATACTTAGTGTGCTGGTGTTTGCCAACCCTCCGTACATACATGCATTCTCTGGATGTGACAGTACATCGATGATGAATGGAATAGGAAAATCAGCTATATTTCTAGAAATATTGAGCATTTTCTTTATTAAACAAACGTACAGGTATTCCTGGACGCTGAATCCAACAAAGAGGACAATAAGCAGCCGGGCGAAGAAATAGCAGGATTGTTTTCTGGTGAGGCACCACATGAGGGAATGAACATCCTTCGACGTAGAAAGTTTGTCTCTAAAACATACACAGGTATGTGTTGTGTTCATATACACTCATTGTCGCCCACAGCCGACGTACTATATCAGCACAGCCTTCTTGTGTTCTAACAGTGCAAAGAGGGGTTAGGGGGCACATTAAATGTACTTAACTATGGATCGAAAGACAAGGTCAATCAACTATTTCCAGTCTACACAATCGCTGCCTTTGCACCACAAAAACTTCCAAAATTCATCCAAAAAGCATTGTGACAGGATGAGATGTTCCTGTCGCAAGAATGAAATATTTTGTTCTCCGTGCGGAGAATGACACGGTCAAAGTTGTACAGATATTGAAGACGTTATTGCGAATGATTAATACGAAGGCGTCTATTTTTTTTTACATTTGTTTGCCTTGGTGTTTGACAATCGAAAATAGAGGTTAATCAAATTCATATCTTCTGAAAAGAGTTCTTCTGAAAGAATATTGAACACATGTATTTTCATGTTTGAAATAACCAGGATTTTAACGTTACTTAACGCAACTAGGTGTCATTGATTATGTAGAAATTGTTAGGTGCCCTATATACTGACCCTAAAAGATGTTTTCCGTGATTTTTTACGGTCATAATTCATAAAATTCTGTCTAACACATCATTCTATTTCACAGATATAAACACTCGTCAACTATATAATTTGTCTTCTGCACCAAAGTCGCATGCATCCTCTGTCGTCAGTATACACGTCACATGTGTCACTTCTGCGTACAGTCGTCGATGTTGGTAATACCCTCTGCTGTCATGACAAACGACGTCTCTATCATCCGTCATCAGTTCAAACGTCACCTGTATCATCTGTCGTCATTACCCGCGTTATATATGTCATCTGTCGTCATAACCAACGTCATAAGTATTATTTGCCATTACTGACGTCATCTGTATCATATATCGTCATAACCCACGTCGTCTGTATCATCTGTCGTCATAGCCAACGTCATAAGTATTATTTGCCATTACTGACGTCATCTGTATCATATATCGTCATAACCCATGTCGTATTTTTCATCTGTCGTCGGCACCGGATCGCTTGAATCATTTATTGCATGTACACACGTCGTCTGTGTCACATGTCGTCAGTAAATATATTAAATTATTGAAGTATTTTCGCCTACTGAATTATCGCTCTTTGTATACAGAACGTCGTTACAATCCTTGTTGCTGATAAAATCCCATCTCGTTATTTTCGTGGCTTGTCTCTCTGTCAAGTTTATTCCCAGTATATCGATAAACATGAAAAGCTTGGAATATTATGTCATGCTTTCTGTAAAATAAATCATACTATTTTCAATTGAAATGGAAGACGAGATTAGATTTGGAGCCGTTAAAATAATATCAATTTCCATGAAATCAGCAAATCGTTTTGATAATTATTTTCAGGTTTGATTAAAATCTCGGGAAGATTTGTGGAAAAGGCTTCAGTAGAAATATGGCGTGTACATTTCATGGACTATTCATAAAATCAATAAAACAATATCACTGGACTGTTCCTTTAATACGTTATTAAAATAAACGTGATTCGTAAAATTTATTTAAACAATATTCTATTTAATCGCATTAGTTATTCTCTAATTCAGACAATTTCCTCTTTAACAATTATGGAATGTTATCGGCATTTGGAGTATATTTCGTACTTCAGTCCGCTTAATACAAAACTCGGATGGAAAGTGTAATGAACAAGAATGAACAACGGTGCCGATTTCTGTGCTATGAAACAAATACAAATCAACAGAACTCACTGTTTCAAACCAGAGTTAGATCAGAAAGAAAAATGTTTCTTTTTCTCGTCAAAGTCTTGTTACCTCGGAGTCCATATTTCGGAGTATGATAATATTCTCTGAAAAGTTTTTTTTTTTCCCTCTTTTTTTACAGCAGTGTTATATTATATCTTAAAATGAATTTGTGAAAGCATTGAAAATTGCTTTGTTTCTAGGTATTTTCGTTCTCAGATAAGTTCGTACAAACATGTGACAATGATGGTTTGAAAATTACATAAGCATTTTTATTTTTATCGTCTGTATAAGTTAAAGTTACCAAAGGATCTTGTTTCGATGAACATAGGTGATATTAGTTTGTTATGATAACGTTAAAAATGATAAATGTAAATACTTTAATTTAGCCGTTAACAATTTTGCCGCGGTGAGTATGGTTTTTTGTAAACCTGAAAAAATGCAATATTAACCGATTCCAAGTAGGGGTTAGTATCATTATGTATAACGCAATTAGTCTATCAAGTGTCACTAATGTCCCATACTCTGGAGAGCTTTACATCAGCTGCGCCAGTCAGAAATTGATTCTGCTGTCACACTATAGACAATGACGTTACGTCGAGGATTGAAAACGGTACAACAAAATGGCTGCGTCGGTCTAAAATCTGTCAAAAAAGGCCAAGCCTCACAAAAATCAAATTTTCTAATACTCGTTTCATAAAATCGCACATACAAAAACTAATTTAAGACTCTTGATATATAAGTTATCATCGTTAGTCCTTTATATGTCATGTGAACATTTCATGACGTCGATTGAGAAAAAAATGTTTTATGATATTCGCGAATTGATTTCCGTTTATATAGTAACTTATTTACACCTCTCTCTCTCTCTCTCTCTCTCTCTCTCTCTCTCTCTCTCTCTCTCTCTCTCTCTCTCTCTCTGTTACCATGCAAACTAATTTTGAAAGACATACCTGATACAAATCCGTACTCAATAAACTCTGGGCAGTTAATGACGGCCGTTTGTCCTGCGTCCGTTTCTTCAAAGCAGCCGAACCCGTCCCATGTGCTTGGACATGTGTTGCGTCCTTTCGGACGCGCATGTGTCTGTCTTTGACAACAGGATTTAGCTGCCTGGCAACAGGACGTCCATCTGGCACAATCCGCAGAATCGAGAGTACCGCAAACTCGTTCAATCTGTCCGAGATCGTCTATGTCTGGAACGGCACTAAAAGTACCGTTCCGAAAAACTAACAGAGGCGAGCCTCCATTCCAATCAGGATCTAAATTAATTTCCTTTGAAATTCTTTGCTGAAACAGAAATTTATAGCACCAGGCACATGTCCACACATTGAAGACAGACGCGTTGAAATAGCCAGAGGAATCGCGACAGAGTGCCATACCTGGCGAGTGTAGAGTAAAGGCGGGAAGTCTGGTGCTACGGCGGATGGATAGGCACGCTTTTATGGAGACCACAGTGGTCGATACAAAATCTCCTCTGCGAGTCGTCTATCACTCTACTGGTACCTACCTATATCAGGGCAAAGTCAGATAATTTTTCAACATTTTATTTCATATACATTTGTTTTATAAAGTATTCACGAGTCTTCTACGTTAAAGTAATTTATATCTCAGAAACATAATTACGATGTATGGGGACGTACAGTCCTATGTTACAGATAGACTACATATTTAAGCTGTCTGTATATCGCGTGTTGTTCTATATGCAGCATGTTTTAACAAATCATTTGTCTATTTGATACTAAGAAGATTAAATAATATCCTAACAAAAATAATATTCCTTGTAAAATCTTAAGAATCGAATTATTTTCAGGAACACAAGACAACACACGAAATTATTCATGACGAGATTCTCTTCGAATCCCTTACCCGTCAGTGTGTTAAAATAGCAAGAAACTCAAAGATAAGTGTTATGTTTCTGAATTAATTCATAATCAGTTCTTGAAGAAGGCGATAATAATTTGGAAGTTAAAACGAAACATTTTATTTCCTCTAAAAAGTTCAAGTATGAAGCATTTCACAGATTTTCTTTCAAAGAATAAAATCACGTTCTTTCACTTCAGCACTAGAAAAAAAGTTCCTAGATTTGGACCTTGCTTCAATCGGATGAAATGACAGCTATTCATATTCAAGTAGTGAACCTGATAATTACAGTATAAAATTGTAATTAATCACAAGGAACATCATAACACTCAACGCCCAACATCAATCAAATGATTTTAGAGTTATTCCCCTTGTAGGAAACTCTTATGATTACAAAACAAATTTTTCGTCTTTCGTCTGCGGAGCGCGTTTCCTATGAAATTTGGCCTGTCAATGGATGGACAATTTGCATAACACGCCTAAAATATGGATATAGAACAGGTGATGGTTATAACATAGCTTTATGCAAGTTTATTTTTTACCAAAATTGTAGAATATCTACTCCTATTATTACTGATTCAGGTTCCTACACTGTAGGCTACAGCAGTCAGGACTAATATCGTCTGGACATCGGTTACTATGTTAACGTAATTAGGGCTATCAGTCAGCATCTAAAATTAGGCCTGATACGTGTAGGAACTAAGTGTACACGTATCGATACTAGCCTGATGTCTTATTCAACGTTACTGATTTTATTGTTTTTAAGAATGTCTCAAAAAGTGACGAGAGCCTGGATTTCAAAGGATTTGAGAAAAACACGCCGTGGTAAGTTTGAAACTTTCTGCCACATTGTCAAAGCATTGCTATGTAAAAAACATTTTCATCCCTAATATTTTTCTAGTCAGTAGGCCTAGTATTTTGCTTTAGTCAACGAAGCAAGCAAACAACATAGTGTAGCGATGCTTTAAAATTAGATACATCTAGTAGTAGTAACATATATACATGTATCAAATCGCACCTCTTCTTATGTTGGTAATTAAAGTCAGATATCTTGGATATTGTGGCAGAACAAAAAAAAAAAAAAGAAAGAAACTTTCAATATATGTAAACATATTTTTTTTTATTTTCCATAATGCAATATAATTTCATATAGATTGAAGAAAACACTAAGACATGTGTTTGAAAGAAAGTGATGAAACTTTTTGATTCTATAAATTGCCCCATGAATAGCCGGGGTAATTTCAGGCAAGTCCCCTTTAGAATTTCATTTGAGAAAAAAAGTGAAAAAAGGGATACATTATAGATATGATTTGTGTAATTATTGGTAATGCATAACTTTTGGGATTATATCAGAATATGTTTCAAATAAAGTTTTGAAACACATTTATATGTATATATGAAGAAACTAGATATAGTATGAAAAATGAATACGTTCAAAGAGTACAGTCATAAAATATTCATATGAAATGTTTCCAACTTATGCGATATCATATTTATTATCATTTCAGCCTTGAGTTTAACCAGAATAGTGAAGATGAAGAAAACACCTCATTTCTGATGAAGCAGAAGGAAGATGGATATTTACAGGAACAAGAAATTATTGATGCTTGTCAAAGTATAAACACGTCTCCAAGGAAACGCAAAATAGATGTATGGCAAGATTAATGTCATCACCATTTTATGTTGAGGGAGAAGGCACCCATGTTACTCATGTCAGTCTGTTACTGTCATGACTATGAAAGATGTTTAAGCTTGGAGTCTACTGGTTTTCTTTAATGTGTTTGCTGATGTTGTTTTTTTTCCCAGTGACCTAAATAGACTGTTAAAACAATTGATTTCTATCAGGTAAAATTTCCTTACAAGAATTATTATTTTAAATTGTAAGATATTGGTCCCTGTCACAATGTATTATATATTCTTTTTTAAGTTATAATTACCACCATCATGAATTAATTCCTTATCAACTCCCATCTTCTCCATCAAACCCATGTTTCTCACTCAAAGTACACCAATTTACCTCCCTTCCCCAACCACTCAGCTGTTCACCAATAAAACATTGGTGAAAACATAGATTTCTAAAGGTCAACAAACAATGCAGTGGCTATGTCTGTCTTCAACTTTCAGTAAGACCAATCAACAGAACAGTTACATTTCAAGTGTTCCTGGTGATTGCTGTCATCAAGGGACAAACTCTACATCCAATAACAATTTTTATATAGATTTAATTTTACAACAGTTGTGAAACATTCAGCTAACTCCACTCTAATTAGTCTGTCCTGTTAGCCCAGATGAAAGAACACGAGGGTTCTTAATGTGTGAGATAACTATAGTATCCTGGGGGAAACCTATGTGATTGAGCAGGTGGCCTTTCATGAAAATGAACTCTAGACGTTTAAGAGAAATGCAAGTGTGTTGTCACAGATACAAATAAACAATTTTGCAAGTGAAACCTGCACCAGGTCATTTATTTTTCCAGTCTTCAATTGCAATTTTCTTTAATGAAATGTCAATGGTGAAGAAAGCAATACTAAAATAACACCAGTAAATTTTCACTTAAACTTATAATGAGCCCTTTGTTTTCTTACAGAAAGATGGTTTTGTAACTCCTGCGACTCCAGATATCCCAAAGTCTTCCTGCCATTATGGTCAAACCAAACAAATGAGAATAGATGAAAATGCTAACAAAGGTAATAACACCAGTTGCTGTGAATCTATACAGAAAGTGTTTGAAACAAAGAATGGCTTTTCATACCTGTAAACATAACAAGAGTTATGGGCCTTATATGTGTGTATACTTTATTTGGCTGAAGTTTCTCTGGAGTAATACTCCTTATTTTGTCAGTAATTTGGATACTTGTCAGATACACAGTTTGTTTTCATTTTCATGATTTTATTTTATCATAAGTAAACAATTAATTAGACATCAATTTCAACAGGATACACCTTTTCATTTCATTAGAACAGGATGGGTAATTACAAAGTCACAGAAAAAGTATAGGAGAAGTTAATCTTATGGAAAATGTATTTTTGAGTTCATAACATTTAGGGATCAAGGATAGAATGGAAGTTGATCATATGATTAGCTTTCATTTTCATTTTATTATCACAGGTCTATGAAGACCTAATCATGAAGTACAATCTAGTGGTGTTGAGAAAATGGTTCAGTATCTATACCATTCCAGTGATTCTGAACTTTTGGATATTTGTGGCTGATAAAGATGTTGATATATATTCTCTATCTTCCTGAAAAGAAATTTCTGTCTTAATTTTTTAATTTTCCCTCCAATTGAATTCATTTATATTATAAGGAACCTTTTTAACCCTCCCTATAAAATACTTATATGGTTGATAATTTTAGGAGGATATTTCAGAAATAGATTTGAAAGGTAAATGTTTAAAAAAAAAAAACGAAAACAAAACAAACATGGTTTAAAAGTATACATATTGTATTTGCTGTCCATTCTTTAATAATTGAAAAAAAAAATCATTCAGAACCGAGGACAGATGATTGTGGAGACCTATCAAAATATTCTTATTTCTATTTACATACGTATTGACGTTGTAAGTTAAAAAAAATGATGATTAACACTCTGTTTTTTATTTTCAGAAGATGAAGGGTACAACACTAGTAAATTAACTGACCATTCCCCTGGTCAGGTATCACATGGAGATTGCTTGAGAGTTTCCACTCCTTCTCAGAAAGATCTACAGTCAGTCCAGAGTATCACAGATATCATTAATGGTAAATCCATACTACTAAAAAGTATCAAAAATATTTATTTTACTTGTATCGTTAAATTTCATACAAAAATTCAAACAACATTTTTCATGGAATATCTTGATATAGGTAGAGTTAATACCTCTTAATGATTTTGTTTTGCTGGTAAATTTTTTCTTAACATTTTTTGACAGAATAACACGCATTCATTCCTTAGAAGTTCTGTCAAATTAGTACATTGATTATAACATAAACTTTTTTATTTCAGTTTGTTTTTGTGCAGTAAAACTGTTAATTTTCGTGGAGGATTTATTCTTATTTTTGTGCAGTAAAACTGTTAATTTTCTCGGAGGATTAATTTTTGCTGAGTTCGTGGGTACTCTTAAGCTACAATTTCATAGGACCACACATCCATTTTGAAACTGTTAAAGTTAGATGCAGATCTATTGAGCAATATTTATCAATGAAATGAAGTGTCTATAAAATACGTATTTTTTGGGAAAACCATAAAATTTGAACTCCACATAAATGTTATTTTTATGGGAAATCTTAAATGTGCCAGCAAGATAACTCTTACTTCTTTGTCCAAATAGTGTTGTTCGGAGATTGGAAGAGTTACTTCCCTTTACATTCCACATCTGCATGAACCTGTCTACAATTGGTCATGGTCATGATTTGGAAATTGAAATAACATTACATTAACATATAATTATATCTATTTATATGATTTGACTCAAGTGTAAATTTAATGTATCCAAGCTAATCATTTTCCCAGCATTCATATATATTTCTTAGTTTATAACAGCTAATCAAATACATTATAGTATAAGGTATCATTGATTACAACAGGCACTTGCAATCTTTAATAGTAATCATAGTAATCTTTATTCAATACTGAATAAAATTTCCTTCAGAGAGTTATAGGTATTTCAACTACAATATATGTAACATTGTTTAATCTTCAATAATCCATGAATTCCTATAAAAGATATTCAGTCAAAGAATTTCCAAACCTGAGGAGTCTTTTGTATATTTCAGATATGTCAGAAGAAGCAAATCATATACATCAACAGTTTTCAAAACTGTTCAGGTATGTAACACAGTTTCACTGCTGTAGTGCGGAATTGATAATGATACTAAAACATATAATCTGTGAGGGTCTAAGGTTTTATCACTGGTTCAGTGTCCATTATCCTACAATCAAGTATACCTTTCAGATCACAACTAAATAATTATTATTTTGATATGGAACTGAATTTATGATGTTTCTATAGGAATAGCAACTGCAGTAGTTAACTGTGAAACTCGTAAATAATGTTTCTTTTGTGAGATTTCTTTCCTTTTTCATTCATGATTTAATTCACATTGGTTTTAGGAAAACATGTAAGTCTGCTGTAGGATGTTAATTAGTTCCATTTTAAAACTAGAGAAACAACAATTGATATGACCCTTACCAACACTTTGTAACTGTATTTGTTCTGTACCATCTTCTTTTGCTTTGTTTCTCTATGTATTAGTCATGTGTCAAAATTATATTGTTGCATGTTAATGAATTGAAAAAATGTGTTTACATTCTCAAATGGTTATGTCCCTTGATATCTTTGAGAACCACCGTCACATTACTTCAGTTGTTTTGAACAAGTGTATTTTCATTACATCTCATTGGAATTCTTTGAATATCTACATACACAGTAGAGAAACATTTTTTTTATTTCAGTTTATGTTCATATTAGGCAGTGCAGATGGGAATATTGTAAACCAAAGTGAATCTACTGTATCAGCTTTTCAAAACTGTTTACTTTCCTTTTGTTTACAGTTATTTCATTCCAATTTTCTTTGGTATGATGAGGTGTGAATATTCATAATCTGAAGTTTGTGTCACGAATCCTCACAGAGGTAGTTTAATTACAAATAGCTGTAGAAAATCTGATGTACATTTTAATAGAAAATGCTACAATGGGGATATTCGAAGGGATATCATTAATTTTGTTGACTTCAACAATCAGTTGTATTTGAGTCCTCCACTTATGATTTTGCTCACCTTAATAAATCTCTTTATAAATGGACTTGGTCAAAATTTTGTCAATAGTACTCTGAACTCATTAGAAAAAGTCAAAAAAAAAAACAAGAAAAAACCTGCACAATGCATATATTTGTGTTAATTCTGAGCACCTAACATTCAGTACACAAAACATGATTTAATTAAAATTTTCCTAAAGTTTATTTCAATCAGAAATTCTGATTTTACATTTTCAATGTGAAAAAAACATGCCAGTGTCACAATTTCACCTGATTTCGTCAGGTAAACCTAATATTGGCCATAGGATTGACCTCCTTACAACGTCAAATATGCTAGAATCACCATAAATTGAATGACATGAGTTCAGTATTTGAAAAATTCAAAAACAATTTTTGAATCTAAGCTCGTCAAAATAATATTTAGATAAAGCATAGAATATAATCTAATTACCTATAGATGTGATAACTATGCAAGATGATCCATCCTAGATGACCCATTCAAACACCCTTTCATCCCTGATTTTGAATAGGTACAACCAGATATTAGGTTACCAGAGGATGGCGACACTGCAATGCCAGTCAACATAATCTCTCGTTTTTAAACCAGTGTTTATTATGTTCCTTTAGAACGTGAATGTGAAACACGAATCTTCTGTTTTTTAAACTTTGTTCTATAGTTCATGAAAATGAAGTTTCGGCTCAGAAGATCAATGTTAATGAAATGTCTGTGATTTCTTGGGTCACAGTATGTGTTGATAGTTGATTTCATAGTTTGAAACACGTGTGTATTTCCGTTAAAAATATATTTGTGCTTTATCCACGACCTTTTAAAACTTCCCTTGTCATCCTTAATAAACATTTTTGTGTTAAGATTCTTAAGATAAAATATAACTGAAAAATTATCTTGTAAGAATGTTTCGTGCACGGATGCTGCTGTTATATTTACGTGACACATTAAAAATATCACACAGTAGACCTGTTAGGATGTCACTCACTTATCATATTCAACCAAAAATGTTTGAAAAACCGTATACAGATATATGCTTGGTACCAACATTGATAAGTTGTAGGGATAAGAATATCCTTGTTAGATTCAGAATATAAAAAAATCACTTTAAGATATTGAAAATAGAAATTTTGTGACACGCATGAATAAGTATCGTTGCGATAAATGAAAAAAATAAAAATCAGTAATGCTTACCAAAACGTCTTATTGTTAACTAAATAACAATTTTGGACAAAAAAATTTGTAGTATAGAGAAACAATCAATATGATTCACGTTCAAGATGTTTATTAGAAATATTAAAGAGACCTCGATAATTGAAAAATATAATTATATGATGCAGATTACCCTGCGAAAATCATCAGCAAGAAATATCTTACCTTCCAGAGAATGTGAGGAATACGAAGTCTTGTGTCCAGAGAGGTTGGATAAGTTAATTGCTGAAGCGAAGACGTTGGAGGAGAACCAAAATCAACAGAAACAGGTCATGTGTGGGCGACTTAAAGTTTTATCTCGTACACTTCAGTTACTGTGACGTTATACAGTGTACAGTATATCCGTGCTGATTACTTTATAAGAAAACTGTAAATTGAAGAAATACGTTTACTCAATTTTTGTGACGCTCACCTGTCTGGCAGATACGAAAAGTTGACGTGTAGTTTACATGTCTTGGTTTTTAAAACTTAATTTGTTATGTCCTCTTGTAGGAATTGATCATTTAAGAATAACACTTCCTACAAAAGTTTCAGTGGCATTCAATGTGTAGTATTAGTAAACTGATCTTCCGACGATTGTTGTGTATTCATTGCAAACTGAAAAACATACTATTCTGTGTTACAGTTACTGTGACGTTCCATGTGTCGTTACTGGTTATCGCAAATTGAGTGTCTTTTTAATTTGCTACATACGTTGTTAATAAAATATCTACTGAATGCAACCTAGCATTAGCACATTTCTGTTAAATCTCTAGTTTTCATTGCTTTTTGATCAGTCCTCTTTGATACGCTCTTCTGTATCATTTGATTTTCCTACTCTGTACACCACTATAACCAATTCTAAACTGAAAGTACGCCTTCATGGTTTCTTATTGTGAAGAAGATATATAACATCAGAATCAATAGGCAAACTAACGAGCATCATACTAGGTTAGTTTCAAATCGCACGAAGAAACGGAATACTTACTTCTTAATGATGTCACTATGACGACCGTAAAACTTCCACAACCTGCGTCTTTTCAAACCCTGTGTTACGAGTTAGTCAGTATGTTGACTTCTTGGACGAAAATGATGATAATGGGAATAGGCCTTTGAATATTTAATATACTTGTGACATCATGGGGTGATGATTCAAAGAGTTTTTTTTCCAGAAATAAATTCAGAATAGGGAAATTAAAATCATCACCTTATCATACAGCTTGGTGGAAAGCTGCCATTGTTGGTTACGTTGTATGAAAAGATCGAAATAAGCGGCTGATGAGTCCGTCTTGTCCTTGATTTCCAATTCTGATGAGTATAAACGATGGCATGGTCAATAAATTTCTTGACATTTGAAGACAAGACGTCAACAATATATCTGAAAGTGAAATTATACGACTTTACAATATCTTTGTGGCAGGTTTTAATAAACTCTTCGATAAAATCAGCCTAAATGTTACTTTTAATTCATATACACACATATTTCTATTTTGTCATTGTTTTTGCGAATATCATTCCTTGACAGCAAATTCATTACTTCCTATGATTTTATGAGAAAAAGAGTCATATCCAGTTTAGTTTCAAAATGATATATTGCAAATGTCGATATTTTGATAATATGTAATTCCATGCAATAACATAATGCAGTGTTTTTTGGGTATTTTTTTCTACATATCCCATAAACAATTAACTTGTCGTTAAATGCACTTATTTTCTTAATTAATTGTCTGGAAGGTATGTCAGATTAATAAACCTATGATAAATGTAATTTCATATGTTTTGGGGTAGCTTCAGAGCACGAATTGTTCTACCCTCGAAGATACGATAACGTATTCAATAAGAAACATGTATTGAAGATACGAAAATATAGAGTTGTTTATTGCAAGAAATTTAGTTTTGGTAAGAAAAAGCTAGCAAACAAGCACGTTTTGTAATATAAAATGTGAAAGTTCGCAGCACCCTGCGCTTTGAAGAGACTCCAGCTGAAAAGGTTTCGTTCGTATTCATCGAATATTGCATCCCCAGCCCCCAAACCCTTCTTTTTTCAGATAGTGATATATATATATATAGTGTTTGACATGAATTATGAAATTCCGGTAATTGCGGTGTTTCTTTTTGTATTTTGTAATGTTTTTCACATTCTTTGCAAGTAAAACCGATTTTCATTATTTATTTGAACATCAATATGACAAGACAGAAAGAATGGGTCATTTAGATGAAACCGTATACAACATTTTTAAATATAGTTTTACGGTCAGTTAAATAAACTTTTGCATTGTCCAGTTTACTATCTTAAATTCGATGCTATGCCACTGAGAGTATTATGATTAAATGTCAGTTAAGTTGTATAATGCGTTAGTTATACGAGTACTGTACTAAAACATGTAGAAAATAGTATAAGTATGCATTAAGTGATCTACACATTAAAGATGCCAAACAAAAGATTCACAAGACACCTATGATCTCGTCTGCTCGAGTCTTTTTAGTTTAAACAATATTTCGTGTTCAACATTTACATATTACCAGTTCAGTACAAACAAATCTTTTCTGCTGCAATTCGCCAAGATCATACCGCTTTGTTTTTCCGGAACTGAAAAGCAATGTTCATTTGCCCAACTACTATGTAATAATTCATGAATTCTCTCTTCGAGTGGTTTCTCGCATTTATACGCTAGCCAAACTAATCACGATGGCTTCTTGCTGTACTGATTGGTTCTTCATAGCTAACGTTTCATGTTTCTGTGTATCATTTTTTTCTTCGAAAATGTCGACAAAATCATTATTCAAACTCATATTCGATGAAACTAGGACAAAAATAATTCTGAATCTCGAAAAAGAATAGTGCTGTGGAAGCGTCTTCTGCTTCATTGACGACATCCGCAATATACATCATGGTCAATCCAAGTAAATAAATAACATATTCCTAGATAAAAAAAAAACTAAGCAAACAACAACAAATAAACCACGCATCTAACACGTCCAGCTTCAAATCACATTATATTTTGCAATGAGATCTAAATGACAAACATAAATCTTCCCGATAATGTTAATCATTATTAATTAATTATTATTATTGTTATTTCTAAAAGCACTGTTGTGAGTAACCTGTCGGTTGACAACAATGCAATATTATGGAAGTTAGCAATGATATAAATAGAAACGATATCAGTGGTATATGGCAATGTCAAATTATCAAATTACTCTCGTCGAAACTAAACAAAACCAAGACGAAATATTTACGGCCCTTGTGCCCTTTCTCTTTGTCATTTTCAACGCCCTCATTATCTTCAACAAACTCATAAATTCATTCACATGTTAAGAAATAACTCTCATATAAAACTATAAGCAATAATGTTTAATTTTACAATGTGTCAAGTTGTGTAACAAAGACGCTGCTCTTGCAATAAACTTTGTATGTTTTTGAAAGTTTCGAGTTTTTACCAAGGAAGACCTTAGAATAACAATATTTTATATGTTGATATAATTTTCGCGCTTTGTTTATCATCGATTGCAGCGAAAATTAGAATCCTTCAAAAATAACAAAGTTCACATAATCACACCGTTAAATATGATATTTGGCAATAAATATTTTGTTATTTAATTCACCATTAGAAACGCAATATAACACTTTGGTCTCATTGATAACATTACTTTTCCTCACGCAATCAGGAATGCAGCTGCTCAGAAACAGTAACACTTTACATATGCATTGTGTTCGATTCTTTGTCACTGTATCATTTGATGTAGCTGTCCGATTAAACATCAGCACGCGTTTTGGCCGTAGGCGTTAGGGGTAGGCCTCCTTTGAACTCCAAGACTTTCCCACTTCACCCACGAAAGTCTTGCCGTTAGATCTGAAAGTTTGAAGAAAATATGGTGTTATTTTCTATGTTAATATATATTCTATACTTTTCTGTTGATTGCCTTTTTTGTGGAATAAGTTAATCAGTTATGGATCAACAATTCTGTATTCGTTTTATCAATTTTATTTCATTTTAGATAACAAAAGTAAAAGTACAATGATAAAGTGACACAAAATAAAAATGGGAATTTTAATGCCAGTTGGCCAAGATTTATTCATTGCTTGTCAGCTGTACTAGGCTAAAATTGCTGTATAAAGTTTTGAGAATTCTTTCTGATTTTAATCATTTCAGCATTATTGCATACATATTTTCCAGGTGATTTTATTACAGAGATGTATATTGGAATTTAATATCTGGATGTAACTGCTGAAAAATATGAATACTCGATAAATAATACAAATAAATACACGCGAAAATAAATAAGTCTTGGAATCTTGAAGTGACCACATTAATAATTGGTGAATGTTTGTTTTTTTATTGTTGATTACGACAGTCGTATAACCGGTGACTGATGGAAAAAAGGATAGACTTTTAGAAAAAATCAGTTATTTGCAATGGTATTTGTAAATCAAAAGAACGGAATCAAATTTCGAATCATTATCAAATATCTATTTGAGATAATGGACATCAAAGTGCTAAAATAACCTTACGCAAGATCAAAAACCTGCGTATCCACAATTTAAATATTAGATTGTAAAGCATTATAATACTTGAAAGGAAGAAAAATAGATAAAAGACGACTAGTACATATGATTATTATTATCATTATTATTTTATATCCAATTTCCCTGTCTGTACTGATCTTTTAATTACCAGTTGTAGTGTCTGTTATATTATTATATACTCGGAATGATAAAAACTATTGATTATAGTACTATAAAATTCCCCTAAATTAACCCCTAAAAATACAAATGATTCTTATCCTAATCATTATCATAGAAACGTACTACATATTTTTTGTTATTGTAAAAAGCAAAAAAGGGAAAAAAATTACTCAATCAAGAATTTTGAAATCTATAATAATGTCTTCACTTTTTTATCTCCTTTAAAGACATTTATGTAAATTTGCTTTCAGCCCATAATGGTTGAATATAAATCGAATCGGTGAGCATTATCGTTTTGTATTATTTATTCATTTTTATTATTTAAGCAGGCGATTATATAAACGAATGGCAATAGTTTCATTTACATATCATTTCCCATTAGTATGACTATGGGACTTTTGTTGTCCTAATGTTTATACTGACGTCAATGGAAACAACAAAATTGATATCAGTTAAATCGTTACATTTCGTTAAATAATATTTGGGAAAATTGATTAAGACACGACCGTTATCTTTTATAAAATTGAATCTGAGTGGAAACAAACGTATACTGTTGTGTGATATCGAAACATATTTTACAGCCTTATTATTTTCAAAAATTTTTAAAAGAAAAAAAAAACAGAACTTTTGTCAAGTGGGAATTATTTCTGATGTTACCATTTTGAAAAAATAATAAACACCAAACACAGCATATTTTACTACCGCTTTAAAGTTTGCAAAATATTTAAATAGAATTGTTTATTTTATCTCACTAATCGAGCGTGGAACTTTTTATCATAAATGCATGCGATCTCTCTAATCAGAGATGTATTTCTTCCGGTATATTTATAAAGGAAGAAGGAATTAAGCATCATTGATTAAGATATATTACTTATAACAAGAAAAGTGTAATGACATGACAGTGGAATACAAGGATCATAATGGAAATGTTTACTTCATTATCTATTTAAATGCGATATGATGCTTTTGGTATGAGTCTATCGACTGAGTCTTCGAAACTATTAGAAATATCCTTTCAAAAAATTATTGGAGTTAAACATTATGACTTAGCAAATATCCACTACACTTTGAAAGAAATAAAAGAAGTATATACTGTACTTTTCAATAGAAATTTTAAAAAGTAGCTACTATACTTTGATTTTTTTTTAAACTGAAAAACTTCCGGATGATCCCATACTTGTATTCCAAAATTTAACATATTGCATTTTAAATAACAGAAACTAATTTTAAATTCCATTCTTTCCGCTTTCAGCAATTTTTCTTCATTGTTCTCATATCTTCCCTTTTATTGGAACGAATGAACAGGAAATGATAAGATATGATATACACAATTATTACATAGTTATATCTAAATTATTATTTATTCAAGTATACGAAACCTTCCAAATCTTTTAAAGGGATTTTGGAGGGAAATTAAAAGATGGGAAAAAAACCTTGTGGAAATGTTATTTGAATGCGGTGTTTTTGATTTCACCACAGTCAAGTACTCATACATTTTCCTTTAAAGTTTTATTTGTGTGATTTCGTGGATAATCTAAATTTAAGAACTAATTGGTAAACAGGAAAAAAAATCACCATGATTATTTTTTTAAAAAAATCAAGCGCCAACAACCGTTTTAAACCCGACGAATTGATATCCTTACATCAGAGTTGAATAAGTCTTACCACTTGTGTTCCACTGCGCCTGTCGTTGTCCACCTTCGCATGTCCTTAGACATTGCTCTACGTAATCAACAGGGTCGTGTGCGTCGTCATCTAACATGTCCCGCAATAACGCTATGTAGGCTATGGCAAGTCGAAGTGTGTCGATTTTAGACAAGCGTTTTTCGTACGGAAATGTTGGCACATGGGACCGGAGTTCTTCAAATGCAGAATTGATACTCAGCATCCTCTTTCGTTCACGAATATTTGCAGCGTGACGTTGAGGTTGGCTTTGGAATTCGTCGTCGTATTTCAAGGAGTCTCGCTTATTATGTAATCCGTCGAAGAAGTAATCTTCTGAATGTTCAGAGCTATTCTCTTGGTGCTGAACGTAAGGATCACAATGGGAAGGACCAGAACAAAACGACGTCGGAAGAAATAACTTGTTCGCAACTCCCTCCAAACTACACGGTCTTGGATCACAAAGTGTTTCAATTTCCTCTTCTAGACTGCGACAGTAATTGTAAAATTGTATCGGAATGTCTCTAGCAAGTTCCATATCAAAATTCAAAAGAAAATCGAAAATCTTTGCGGTTATCCGAAAGATTAGGAACCATTATTTCCATATAGAGTACATTCAAATTTGTCATGAAAACTCAAAACTTGTTACGGGATTAACGAGTGAACTGATTATAAAAGCTGTTTTTAGTTCTCATAATAAACTTATTTAGTATTCCATCGACTGTCTGTTAGTAGTAAGAGCACCGTTACCGCAAACGATTAGCAACTTTGGAGTGATGGCACGACCAAAACTAGGAGGGTCCTTATATATGCTGGGAATTGTATTTTGATGAGATGTCATCCTCAAATGTGGAGTCAATTAAAGATTTGATGAAGTTCTGGGTTGTGTATAACAGTAATGTGTACAAGTCCGCCGCGAGGGGGACAACAACCATGCTCACTGTTCTAAACACACATTCAAGTACCATGGAGTCTTTCTGATGAAGGACAATAGGCAGTGTCTCCGGTAAGGCACTGGGAACAATACACCCCGAAGACACCCGCGGTGCAGACACGAGATGGCAGCCGAACGGATATATCGTTAAACGGCCTAATTGAATGTCAGCGATTGGCTGAATAACCAGTCGCGTGCAAGTGATAGCGCATGGGGAGCATAGAAATTTGTCAAAATTGAATGTTCTTTTCGAGTTAATAATCTGTAGTTTTAGTGAAAAGACTTGAAAATGATGTTATGAAAACTTTTCCGAAAACAGTTAGCGGTTGATTACACTTAATTGAATTTCAAGCATTCCTACATACGTTTGGGGGCCTGGATGACATATTTAAGAACTCTCAGTTGTGCCAGAGCCTCTTACTGCCAATTCTTGATGCTATCAACACAGGATTTATACTACAAAACAAACGTGTGTCTTGATCGGTCTCAATTGTTCAGTTCATAGCTGATGCATCTGGTCATATGTTAAACGTATGTGCCTAGTAGGGACATTCACATGTTTTTCTTCAAGTATCATCTTCTGATATAATTAGTGAGACTTTGGTATCTTTGTTGTGATATCGCTAACGCTGACAAGTACTAGAGACGTCAAAGAAGTGGAATTATTAATTCCAATGTAAAACACATCTGTGCCATAAATGTTGCTTGTATATAGATTAAATGTTTAAATTTACATTAATATTAAAGAGGGAAAAGAAAAGGCTCCTTATATATATAGACAAGTATATTATATTTAAAAAAAACCAATGCTATTTTGATTACAAAAATGAGTTTCAGTAAGTCTGAATTCAAATCGTGATATAAATGTCATGTACTATATGCTGTGTTAGTTAAGGCAAATTTATAAATAGCAACACGTGTGTCCATATTATCCTGAACTGCACACAAAGTTTACCTTGGTATACAAGGAGAAAATATATCGGTGCCTGAAAGCATGGGAAAATGTGTCACAGACGAAATCGGAACACTAGAATAGGAGATCCAGCAGGACGCATCGATAATTGAGAATATGATCCAAAATAAATCCAACAAGACTCTCATAGGGATAAAGGAATTAGTGATAATAAGGTATGTGGTGCGTGTTCATCAACTCTCTTTTGGAGCTGACGGAAATTTTAGAAACAAAATTATAAGAAAACTCATATTGTTAAGATACAAATCAGTGTATTGAGATGTATTAAGAAATATTAAGAATACTTTTGTCAGCCTTCTTTACTTAATATAACACATTCATCTCTAACAACATGATATGTTGAATAATTCACCAATGTTACGAGGAAAACAATTTTAGAGAGAACCGTTGTTGCGAAGAAATCAAATCCCTTTCTGCTCATTGGGATGAGGTAACACGCAGTACTGTATGGTCATCAACAATATTTATTTAAATATCAAATGTTTTCAGTCTTACGCCATCAGCTCACTCAATATTACTTCAATGTATTGATGTTTATCCCCGATACAAAATAATATAAAATAATTTCGTTAATGATCCTATTGATAATATAGATATTATATAATGCGCGAGGTATAAAACTCATAACGTTCAAACTATATATCAATTATTCATATCTAAGATTGTGTATGTATAATGATGGATTATGTTTTGACGATAAAAGTATGTTATTCGTCCGGCAAGGTTGGGACACAACATCATGTTAACAACATTAAAAAAATACCGTTAGGTCTTTAAAAGCGTCTTAAAATTGGTGTAGTATAGCATATAACCCATGAAACAAATTAGGAATATTTCAAACAAATTACTGACATATTTATTTACAATCGACACACATCTGATCGAGTGTTAGTTAGTTAACATTTGTAAAATCAGCGATATGATTTAATGCTTGCATATTCCATATTCCAGTCGAGCTATATTTGTATGCCAGAATATCCCTTACAAGTTCTATCATGTTGGACTTCCGTCGCCAGATATACAATAACATGAAATCTTATACCCCCACGACCCCATAACGTTATTTTTAGTTTTTATTAAAAGAGTAATCAAGACGACTTTGGTTATGTCTTATGGAATTCTAACGTCTTGTTCCTATTGAGTTCAGTAATATATATTTACACTGCCTGTTTAATAATGAAAATGTACCAAATCAATATCCAGGACAGGAATACATAAGCTATTTATTTTGCTTTGTATGCGTGTATCGTTTTTGGAGAAAATAAACTCCAAATTGAAATGAGAAACTGAAAATTAAAGTACAAAAATAAATAAAAATTGATAAAAACGGTGAATTTGCTGATTTTATCTCTTAGGAACAGAAAACTGACTTCATTTTAATATTTCTCTTTATTAATATTGGTTTTCCCAAGTTGCTCCATATGTTTGATAATTTAGCCCCTTAGCATCACTGAGTAGTCCTAGAAGGATGAAGCAGCTGTATGATACAGTGACTTAGCTCTGTTGTGTCTCTTATTCTAAATATGTATTTCAAGATCTTATTCACTTCCGTGGCATTGTACAATCTTTCTTCCTGTCACACCTAAATATCTGTCTTTTTGGCTGTTTCTGCAGAGGCCTTTGAATCATATCTAGGACTCGGACTTAATAACTTAAATAAAAAAACCCCATTGATAATAGCAACAGGAAAGTACCAGAGTCCCATAAAGATATGTAAAGAAACACTTTTTAAAAAATCATCATTTGCGCACTATGACTCTCCTTTGGTCGTTGATTAGTGGCAGTTGTATAATGTTATGCATTGGAAACCGTTATTGGTTGACATCTTTCATTTCAAATGCAAGTGACAGCTTATCAGTTTCGATATTGAATTATTTAACTAGCTTCTAAAATTTTGCCAATAAGTCACTCTATTTTTACCTTCTGCCTACGAAAACCCGCATACATACCTTGTCAGCACCTTATGGACTCTAATGCCGAGAAGGGGATGGGTTCCTTTGTATTGAGTTTGAATTGTTTCACGCCATGATGTGATATAACATAGTAGTCGATTTGATCTAACGCTGTGGTCAATGTGATGTCACTTGTTGTTGTGTCAAACATGACCGCTTTCTGACACGCTTTGTGGTGAGTTTCCCCAGTTTGTTGCTGCGATCACAATTAACTGTTATGTCCTCGTCGACAAGAATTATTTACAATAATAATATATGTCACTCGATAATTGTACAAGACATACATGTGGAGTTCGATAGAGCAGGTTAATACAATATATATGTACTCACTGAAATTGTTATGATGCAGTATAATTTCGGTGACATCTGAAAAAAAGGCACTTAAAATTGCATTGTTCCAGAATAAAACACATTCAGTTGACGACAGTGGCAAAACAATTAATTCTCATTAATGGTTGATTGGTATGGTGGATTACTGTTTCTAGTTTATTGTTATGTTAATGAACATAATTTTCAATTGTCTCAAGTCTTATTTGCTCCCACCAAGTCAATGGCAATTAGGATTTTTTGTCTGTCTGGCGAATCTATCGATCAACATCTGACTTTAATTTAATAGCCAATACACTGCGTAATACCATGTGTCATGTTTACTTAGGGTTGAAACAATCCAACACTTGTCATTTTTCAAGAAGATATAAATCATTAGTGATGCTCTCGAAAAATCAAACAGAAATTAATTCGTTTACAATTAGTAGAGGAGTCTTAAAGAGCGTATTATAGGTCACATTACATATACTGTTGTAATATTTTTATAAACCAATGTAGAAATAATAAATGACAGTTAAAATATAATTACGACCAATTGTACTTCATTACCAGATTATTTGATGATTTGGCTGTCTAATTCTATGATATTTTAACAAATATTAACATAACTGATTATAAGATTAAGTTCAAAACAATGAGACTCGATCGCCATGGTTACAGTGAAATAAACTCAATATCTACATCACGTAAACAAATATGGATGTATCTGGAAACCCGAAATCCAAATTAGTTAGAGGAAATGTAATTAAATTCAATATCGACAAAAAGAGCAAAATGTTAGCTAATTTTTTGTTTTTCTGTTTTTTCTTGAAATAAATAACTTAAATAGCACGAGAACAAACAAAAAAAAAAAAAAACCCAAAAAACAACAAAAACAAAAAGTGGAACAGTAGCTCGATTTTTCGTATGTCAACTATAAAAAATATTCATATTATCAGACCTGAACGAATATGAATTGAATAGTATGTGGCATTAAGATGCCTCTTCTGTTTCAGCGAGTTCCGCCATGTAAATCTTGGTCAATCCAAGTATTTTGTATTGTCACCTTATCGTAATGGGAAATGCGTTGATAACGAAGAAACCAACAGTTATATTAATGAGAATCCAAACACATCTAACTTCGCACACAAGGAAAGAAAATATTTCCCGTTAGATCACGATGGCGACTACAAAACGTCTTCACAGTCAGCATTAATTTATCTCTATATAAAGTATGGGTGGTGACGGGTTTTTCCTTCAGTAATCCAAATCTCTCTTGGAAATCGTGATATTCTGAACAAGCCCTTGAATAAAGCATTAACTGCTATATATGAACAACCAATTACATTACATAGTGCAAAATATTCGCTTTG